CTAATCTAATAATGGTGTATAGGAGCTATTTAACTATTATTGTAAATATCTCCTGTTTGCCCTTGAATATCAATGATGTCATTTTGCTGTGAATCACTGCATTACTAACAATATACTTAAATGGTTGCAATATCAATTACATCATTGCAAGTCCGGATTAAAATAATACCTATCGGTTGCCGCTACAATATCGGTTAGCGATAAAAAGTAAAGCAAAAATATTATCAGATCAAATCAATTGACGTGTCTACTTTCATTTAAAATTTGAATCAACATTAATACCCAGTGACAATCCACTGGGACATAGGCAAGACAGTCCAGTACATACGATTTGGCAGACGCATCTTCTAAGCTTTGACCATAATGTTAAACTGTCAAACACCGCAAGGACACCGGTGACCGCAACCTATTGTTCTTTAATTGTGTCTATAATGACGGTACTCAAAGAGTTAAGACATGTCTGGCAAATTGGCGATAGCAATTTAAAATGTTGAAGTTTATCAGAGAGCGCTACTGGTCTTTGTCACTTGTGTAGCTGTCTGTAGTCTCTTCATCAATAGCCTATAAATGCCCACTGCTGAGCAAAGCCTTTTCTCACACGGAGAAGGTTTGAGCATTAATCAACACGATTACAAACTTACAAATAGAAATTATAAGCCAGGTTTCCTCACGATGTTTTCCTTTAACGTTTGTCAGTGGTGTCTAAATAATCTTAGAAAGTACAATATAACTCGGAAAAAGTCACATTAGTACTTGCAGCTGGTAGCTTTCTGTTGCACGAGAAGCGAGTCTTAAACCTCTGGGCCACCACGACCTTGTACCCTAGTCTCTTGGTCGGCTTTTATGAAACCCACGGAAAGATTAAGGCCGATTACTAAATGTATTGTACTCGCACGTTATTGTGTATACGAAGTATAAAGCTGTCAACTCTAAATCTGAAGATAGTCTCGGCTAATGTTTGCCAACACATAATTGTAAATATTTATCAATGGATTAACAGGACTAGACGGCCAAATCGTGAAGTGAACAGAAAGTTCATTGTACTGTTTTTTATCTAACGATATCATATCTCATTGAGCAGTTGATTTTATGAACTTATATTTGTTTTATAACAGACATAAGCCAAAAAAGAACTGTATTCAATGTCTACAATTTTACATGACCTAAGTACTGATATTTACAAACTTGCATTCTTCATCGTCTATTAATCATTACTATTGTCAGTTTTAACTTTTCTCCAAGCTCTAGTGTCAATATTTTATATAGACTGAATAATCCAAAATACGATATCCAGTCAAACAATTGTGCGCAAGTCGTACTGGCGATCCAAATTGCGCAAGCTACTTACTTTCTCAGCCACAACGACAAAGTATGTGTCATGTCATCAACAGGCCAACAGCGTTCATTGTCCGCGCAGTCACTATTGAAATCTAGAATAATATGATAGATAGTGCGCAGACACACAAAAATGCATTTAAATTTGAAATTTCATACTCTGTGGTTGCAATCAACAAGTAAATTGATGGTTTTTGCCGTTTGAAAGTAGTACTTGTAAGTATTACTTTCCAAAAATACTTTGTTGTTTTTGAGGTTTTATATTAACAGATTTGTTTATTTAACACAGCGCCATCTATACCAATACTTTTGTTTTCCCTCGGGAATATAAATTTTTTCCGGGATAAAAAGTACCCTATTATTTAATCCGGACTTCTAACTTTACGTCTGCAAAAATTCAAAGCAATCGGTTTAGTAGTTACGCCGTGAAAGCGGAACAAACAAACAAACTCACTTTTTGATTTATAATATTAGTAAGGATATAGTAAGGATTTTTCTAAACCCAAAGACGCTTAGATATGTACATTGTTAAAAATACGGTGTTAAGAACTTACTTATCAACGATTTTGCATTGTATGTGTACCTACTAAGTATTAACTGCACAATATGAATGTATCATTATATCCATTATTCTAAACGCAAAATAACGGTGAAACGGTGAAACATAACACAAGTAACAAGCAAGTATTTGGTATAGATTGCTTTCAATCAGTCGAACGGTGTAAATAAGAAGTAAGAACGCAATCACCTACTTTTCCTCTTCGTTATTACAATTATTGTATAATTATTTTAATTAGTATTCGTTTCTATTGTCCTATTAGTTTAGTATGCGCAAGTGCGTCTGTTGAGTCAGCTGGGTCATATATTTGTACCTGATCATAATATGACTACTAGACCAGATTGATATTACATATACAATTTGTAAGAGATCAGATAATGTATCAATGAGACTGTAAAAGCATTATTATCGACGGACGAACAATTCAATTTTTGACATTTCAAAAGTGCCTGATTTAAGGATTAATTGAAATAATGCTTTGACTTTGATTAAGATTTTTTATTTAAAGTATGAATATTTGAGGTTGGACTACCTACCGACCTATTGTTCTTTAATTGTGTCTATAAAACCGGTACTCGACGAGTTAAGGCGTCAGAACTGATAGATGTGTAAAGTATTGCTTGATTTAATGACCGGTATACACGAATTATACCAAGTAGATATAGGTACTCTTTCCGACATAGTTTCGTTACATTTATTTTAAGATCAAGCTCATTATTTTCGACGAACGATATAATCATTATGTTTACACTTTTCCTGTGAAAACGATTCCGAAAATAGCTTTTGATGCGTAAGAAATAAGGCGTATAAATACAGCTGCAAGATGCGATAAGCAGAGATTATTGGTGAGTTGGAACTGAAACGAAGGGAAATAAAAATGTAAACAGCCGTTTACACTTAAAAATGAAGTTTTATTTGACATATATACATAACCTCACGCCAGTCCCCATGGGGGTAGGCAGAGACTATTTTAATTGACATCTAACTATAACTTGGATTACAAAATCATTTTCTATGATTGAACTATTTCTTTTTAACTAATAAAAGTGTTAAGTCAAGTAGTTTTTTATCTGTCGTCAAATGGTCAATTGTCAGTACCACCAATTTTAAAAGTTCTTAAGATAAATGGTTAAATATACAAATTCTCAGTAAGTGCATTAACAACAGCAACATGCACTTAAAATTTCCAAAAATGAAAACGGCAGACAAAATTCTGAAAACTGACGCTAATGGGCACACGTTCGCTAATTTTTGAGAGGTAGTACCGCCGTAAAAATTACCTAAATGAGTGTTCTTTTGTACAGTTTGAACAAAGACGTTGACTAGTTTTTGAAGTGATTTATTTCAAGTTCTGTTAACTAAATATCTAGTGAAATGACTAGTCAATTAGGCATTGTATGTTTAGTTTAAGTTCAATCATCAATTGCTAATAAGACCTATCTTATTAGCAATTGATCGGTCTTATTAGCAAACTAAATCTCTCACAGTTCAAAAATCCTTGAACTTTAAAAGGGACATTATTTACCCCGAGGTTTAGTAGCTACGAGATAACGGGCGATAACCACGTGCGAATGATTTATGGATTAGATTAGAGACAAACTTGTAGCTGAATTTTGTTCGCCTACATTTCTTGTGCCGATATTGACAAAATGAAATATTGCCAAGAAGAATATTTTTAGTCACATATTTAAGTCTTCGTTAGGGATCAGGACACGATCTTTGGCCACCGTAAGCATGGGTCTGCGGACGGCGAGCACGGGTAACTCTCCGCCCAATCAGAACCAGACGCGAGCGTACCGCACGTCGCGTTCCGCGCGCGCCTCACTGATCCATCAGACCACCACAGATGCGCCCAGTAAGGCTGATGCCCGAGGCGGACTTAACGGGTTGCCGGGGCTCCGACTCCAAGAGCAGGAGTAGGAACGGGGTAGATTTTAGTTAATAAGAGTCTCTGACACTACCTCCCCCAAGACGAGAGAAGTCATTGGATATTTTTTCCCCGTCAAAAAATGCAATTTACACAGTTAATTAAGTTTGAAATCTGATCTTTAGGCGACTTTAATTTGATATCCATATCAGCATCAGACGTTTGCTTCAGAAAACGTCTGCCGCAGCATAATTAAACTGTCAAACACCAAGCGGTCACCGGTGACCGCGACCTATTGTTCTTTAATTGTGTCCATAAAACCGGTACTCGACGATTAATTGTTAGGCATGCTTAGGTACTTCCGGAGCTGGATTTTATTATTTATACAATAGTGATGTATAGACTAAGGGGCTAGGTAGGGGCTCATGGCTTGGAAGATTTGTTTTTTAAATGTATAACAATATCACATATCTTGCTTTATTTTAATACTACATTGAGACCAGAACCTAGATATTTATTTTAATATTTTCAATGCTTTTTAGCAACATTATCTTGTAAAGTGTCGCGCAAAAGTAAACATGAAAGAATAAAACGCATTATGAATGCATTTACTCTATGACAACGTCACTACTACAATGTTGGCAGTACTGATTCATAAGAACAATAATAGGGTAATTCCCGATTTGCTTAATACGTGATAACTTATCAATATTCAATAAAATAATAACATGAACATCCTATCTAGAAATAGAATAGAATATTGCTCATTGTATTTTTCCACGTTTTATACATATTTAGTTAAACTAGCGAGTCTAGTATATTTATATTTAAGGTTTATTATTTTGATATCGAACCTCAATATTATGAAGATAACACATTACTTAGAAAAGCTCTTGTTAGAATTTAGACGGAAATGGTTATTAAGAGATCGATAAGGGCCTCAAAACTTCACGAAACGCTTTGCATAGGGGCCCAGATAAGAAAACTACAACCCTGTCTAGCGAACTTAATACAGTTATAAAGAACGCCGTGTTATAACTTTATTAACAACTCATTGGTTCCGATTATTGATAAATCAATCAAACAGTAATTTCGCTACACTTCATTGAATATTAGCGGAACATAGTAACTCTAATGAGAACATGGGAGAATCGCATTTACTACGCATACAATAAAGTCGCTATTATTACTAAAGTTAGTATAAACACAGGTAAAAAATGTATGGGTTTAATTCTAAACTCACCTGTTTCGAAAACTGCCGCCTCTTTGCTGGAATTCTTCATTGCCCTCTTTTGGTGGTCTCCATTCTTCCTTGAAGCTCTTTTCTCGTCGGAAGCCTTTCTTTTTGCCATCATCAGATGCACTGTCCGGAGAACTGAAGGTTTCTGGAGCGTCTTTCCTTATTGGGGTTGTTGCTTTGGCCTGCAGGGATGACAACCGTATTTTAATAACAGACTGACTTATTTCTAGACTGACTGATTTGTTACAAATAATTCTAAATGTAGGTAACTTTTTAATTTTCTACTTTACCTATATTTCGATAACAATACACCTCTTTTTTTGTTTTTATAAACCTCTTGTGCAATTTGTTAACTGATTCCAATTTACGAAACATTGTATTACGCGAAAAGTGTTTTATTGAAACTAAAAACGCAATTCTTGTAGCACAGTTTTTGCGTTCAATAAACGATGCACTTCCGTTATGAAGAAAGGAAAATCGGAGACTAATAAAAGGATATTCGTTTCATTGATATGCTCTAATTTTATACCTACACAAAATTACGTAAAAGTTGGTATAAAAATAAAGACTATGAGTTTATGACATCGTTAGGTTTTTCGGCAATCTGAGGCACCAAGCAGTTTCAATGCTAATTAGATTCTAATAAGTATCCAATGCAAGTTTCACTTATCTTTACAAGTAGGTTCAAACCGCTGATTCAATCAAATACATTAATTGATATACACAGAGTAACACATGAAATAGGGTCAGCAGATTATTTAGTTTTGCTAGCTAAGCCTTGAGTTGCTTTACTAGTCATTAAATTCAGGTATTGATAGCATATAATTGTTGTAAAGTAGGTTACTTAGATATTCTTCTGCACAATATAACAATTAGGTATATAAAGTAATTTTTATTCAAAAAGGATGGATTTTAGAAGAGAACTTACCTCATGAGAGCTTCTGGGTTGAGATAGTTGTGTCATCTTTCGGGCTACATCCAGAGGTGGGGTTACAGTCTCATCAATCAGCGACACTACCATTGTAGTAGACAGCATGCCCACTATGTGAGCAGTCAGTGTCTTCTCCAAAGCTAGCATCTCCAATTGGTTTGATGTCTTAGTTTCTACTGGTTTGTTCTCATAACCCTAACAAAAAATGTATTTTTTATTATAAACACCTATTAAAAAATATCCTATTAGACTCTTACTGGATTTGGATTGTAATCTTCTTGTGCAAATATTACAAAATAATTAGATTAGTGCGTATTAATCAGACAACTTACCTTCAGAGCACACATCATAGCCTGAGCTGGAAATCTTATCAAATCAGGAGTAATGGTCCTCAAATCTGATACTTCAACCTCTTGTTCATTACCATAGTCAACATACATAACAACAATTTTGTTCTTCTTAGTGTCTCTAACAGTTGCTCTGTACCAGTTGTTATCATCAGGAAATCGTGCACAGCATGCTGCTCCCACTGGCAACTCTCCAGGAGAAGAGCTGTTCTCACAGTGAGCTCTTACAGCTTCCATCACAGCATTCAACTCATCTATGTTATCTGACAACTGCACAAAGAACTTGATACAGCTATCTACATAAGACACAAGAACAGAGCGCCTCGATCCCAAAGGAAGTATGTCAATCCTTTTAAACTGCAGCTTGTCCTTCATATTAGCCATCAACAATTCAAGCACATTCTTATTGTCTAAGTAAAGTTCTCCATACTGAATCAATGGTGGCCCTTCAGGTGCCACTACCTTCAGGGTCATCACTTTTCCGTTAACTAGTTGTTTGAAAGTCTCATTCAAATGAAGCCCCTTTTCCAATTTCTTTACACCTGATAAACAGAATCTCATAGCGAACACATTAGGCTTCACAAACTCATCAGGTATATCAAAGATATCATAGTATGATACCATTTCTGTGTCCCCAAAGTCAACAAAGAATAACTTGCATTGAGATCCAGAGAGATTCATAACAATAGCCCTGCATATAATACGGTCACCTGACATTCTGCCCAGGCAGACTGTGCCTATCATAGGTGGTTCAGTAAGACTGCTATGTGGCCTCTTATTAATGTCATCCATCATATCCTGCAGTTTCTTCGCATCACTAACAAGCTGCACTGCAAATAATTCTGGTCCTTCTTCAGCAAATGACACAAAAACTTTATGTTGAGAGTTCACTTCCAATAATCTGCTCTTATAAGTGGACGACTTTTTGGGAGAACCAGGTTTAGGAGCTATCATTAGAGCTGGTGGAGGGGTTGAAAGGTTGATGCTATTAGTAGGGGCATGCTGTGGCTGGCGTACTGGGGCCTTTAAATTCCCTGGGTTTCTAGAAGCTTTGTTGAGTAATCGTTGTCCAATCAAAGATGGTGCCATCTGTATACTTCCATTAAATGGTAATGATGCATTTTGCTGAATGCGCATAGTGGATGCTGGATTAGCCGGGAAATTTTGATTCATTAAAAATGGGATGTGTTCGGGGAAATTTGCAGCTTCATTTGAAACACTAGGCTGCCAATTTGATGGTTGATGATTATCACCAGATAATTGAAGTAGTAAGACTTCTTGCTTTGCTAGAGGTAAAGCTACACCAAAACGAATCGACACAAGATGTGTCGATAGATCCGTGCCTTTAAATTGTACAGATATTATAGGTATTGTCCGAGTTTGAGCTTCAATAGTCGCAATATAATCAGAATAGCACACTAAGCTTTGCAGTTTTAGTAAAAGTGGTTCTTCCCATCTTCCAGACGGATTCATTACCCCAGATAGGTAATAGTCAGACGCTTGACCACGTAGTTGTAAGAATAGCGGGTCGTAGTTGTCGAGGAATCGTATAGCGCTCAATGAAATAATGTCTTTGTTCCCATAGTCAATAAAGTGGACTCCAACCAAACCGGTAGATAAATTATTTGTGCTCACAACTTTAGCTCGGTAATAAATACCATCTTTGTATTTGGCGGCACAAATGACACCTTCATGAATAGCTGCCGGTGGCACCGCTCCGATGCCTTTTTCTAGATTATCTCGGGAACTTTCAAACAGGCTCTCTATCATCAACGAAGCCTGTTGATCTACTTGACCACTAATTTTCAGAAAATGAGAGTCACCGTCTACATGGGTCACAAAAAGTCGAAAAGACCTCTGGTTTTCAGGCGGCCCTGCCATTTTTTCAGCAATAGTATATAGAAGAAACTACAATAGTACAACTCACACTTCTTATTAGAAACAGAAATATCAAACTGAAGTAAATACCATCGCACTTTCGCTAAACTAATTTATAAAAAACAACACAGCCAGCTTTCTTTTCCGATAACGTTACGTTTTCAATAAACATGGCGCTTCGTCCGCCGCCGTTTCAACTTCAACCATTTTAAAAATAGAGTTGTGAAACGAAGAAAAGTATAATTTAGTCGATTTAATTAAGTTTTCCATAAAAGGAGCCTGAATTTTCAGTAAATCTAATGGTAATAATAATGGTAAAAACAAGGAACAATTAATAAAATAACCATTGTTTCATTAATATAAATAAAACAAATGGATGAATTTTAAGTAGATGTACAGTCTATTAAACGCATTTTATCCATCACACGTTTCCAGTTTCTGCAAACGTCATTGTGTATTACTGTCATATCGTTATGTCATTTGACGTTTAATGTCACTGACATAGAAATACTTTGTTTTCTTCGTAAATTGTGTGTTGTGTGTTTTCGAAAGTATCTCTGCAACATAAAGGTCTGTTAGACTTATCTGTAGGATGTATTTGCTGATATAATACAAAGGAACAACAATAATTCAGTGGGCAAAATGATTGAAACTTGTTCTAAAAAATGCATGTTATTTGGGACCGTCTGTTTAGGAATGTAAGTTTACTTGTTATTTTTCACGCACTACAATTTTGCACAATATGTAGTCTGATAAACATTAATGAGATCAAACTTGTTATTATATTTTGCAGATTGACGATAGTAGTGCTAATACTAGAGTCCCATTTGGCTGACTCTATGTCTGGTAGTTACAAAATGAAGAACAAGACATTCCCTACAGAAAACAATTCAACATGTTGGATGCGACAGAAATATTCAATTGTTAGTGAATGTCATCCTTGTTCAGGTAAATTATGTTATGAAAATTACTACATAATATTTACAAAATGAAGTCACTAAAAGTATCAAGGCCTATTTCACAATGTCCAATAAAAATGCGTCAGTTGATTTGTCAGTTATACTAACTTATCATAAACTGCACCAGAAAATCAGAAATTCTTAAGCAATACCATACTTTTATACTAAATGATGAATTTGATATTATTTTAATTATTAAAACAATACTTTTGCTATTGCAGATTTCGAAATACGAAGTAAGAGCATAGGAGTATGTATACACACAAGTTTCAAAGAAATACTTAAATGTGAAAGTGGTGAAACGGTCACAAGGAGGTTAGTAACACTATTAAGTCATAGTTCAAAATAACTGAAAAGAAATAATAGTGAAATTGTCCTAAAACTTATTAATTTCTTGCTTTCAGTTGTGATCGAGTAGCGTATCTTGAAGAAAGAGCTTATTGGAAGTTCACAATATGGTCATTTGCTATTGGAGCAGCTTCCTCAACTGCTGTTATGTTACGATTACGAGTTCTCAACTATCATGCAAAACGAAGAGCTAGACAAGTCCTTAGCAATGGGGCAATTTAATTTATTAATATTATTTTTGAATTCTACCGTTGATTACTTACAACAATGTATTTGACAGAGCACTGTCTACATAGTTTAATTGTGTATGGGCTGTAAAATATAATGTTTAGAAGATTTAATGACCACTATGCCCATTAATGTGATAAATTAAGTCTAAGCTGCGATATAGTACCTGTAAGACTTAAATTAGAACGAACTGAGATTAGGTAAAATGGTGAATGTACTAAATTGCCAAAGTTATCATACTATCCTAATTTTTACGATACTGCAAAATGTTATCAGACATCACATTCAATAATTCATCAAATTCATTAGTAAAATAAAAAATTGACATTGTAAAAACTTAAATAAATATTTATTATCATTCGAACAGTATTTTTAACAGTTCACTTATAACTTTAACGTTAACACTATTACCTAACAACCGATAACATTGCTTCATAGATATATTTGTAGGCAGATTATAACTTTTAGGAAAACACATTAACATTAATACTTCTTTCGGTGTAAAGTACCGTAACTTCAATTCCTTAAATAGTTCAACAAACTTTTCACCACCAATTTCATTTTGTTTAGCTTCTTCATAACATTTTTGTACTACTTCTCGAGGTTTATCTGTGTATATAGACCCAGTTCCATCAGCGTAATGAGTGTAAGCTTTTGTAAAGCAGCAAGATCTCTTTGAGGTTCTATAGCAGATGTCAAACACTTTGGCACATCTCAGTATTTTATCTGGTACCAAAAATTTTTCATCTACATCCTCTTCGATTATGGATTCTAAAGAGTGTGGGACACCAAAATCTGTTGGTAGTCTTGTAATCTGCAAAAGAAAATAATAATTTATTGTAAAAAATTGCTATAAAAATAAAATAATAAGTATTTGAGCTCAAAGTACACAGTTTAAACTTACAATTTCATCTCTTCTTTTAAAAGGCCAAGTCAATTTATTTCTTCTTGCTGTGCAGTAATATCTTAGTCTAGAGTTAGGCACACCAACGGTTGATGGACATAACAAAAACTCTTGGTAAATAAAGTCACATTCTTTCAACTTGTCTATAAATAAATTTCTAACAGTAGAGTTCTCAAAGCCTTTAACATTTTCCATAAGAATATAATCTACATTGTCTAGCTGATCTAATATCCCTATTATGTATAAAAACGAATTAGTCCTAGGATCATTGTCATCTAAATATTTCCCATTCCTTGTAAATGGCTGGCATGGAGGTGACATAAGTATTGTATCAACATTCCATTTTTTTATTACTTGAGGTGTCAGTTGTTGAATATTCCTATTCAGTAAGTTAGTTTCTGGAAAATTATGTTTATATACTGAATTAGCTACTGTATTTATATCCACTGCTGCTACTATTTCTCCGTCTAAACCAGATTCTGGAAATAAAGAATAAATAAGTTAGTGTATTTGAATATTATTCATTCGTCAAATATCAAAGGAAGGGAGAAGACTACATAAAAGCATTTAATTAAGTGTTACAGTGGGCAAAATAGACCCGGCTCCGCCACAGCTAAGGCTACTTCTGTTTGAAAGCTAAACAGAACTGGGTTCAGCAGTATTCTCAACAGCCTTAGTCCATTTTTTATCACTGTCACTGCGACTTGTATAATATTTAAAATTATTCATGACAATATTGTATCTATTACCTTTCCATGCACAGTGCATGCCCCCAATGCCACTATAAAGCTCTAAAATTTTATGCGACATTATAACTATTACAGTTAACAATTTGTACTATTCATCTTATAACACAAAAATATTTTGGCTACAAAATTAAAATTTATTTACAAAATAAAAAGGTTAGTTTTTGACAACATGCATGCAATGCTGGCAGCTGGCCGGACAGTGACAGTCACAGTCATGTCACAGCAGCGAGTTATCGATGACATATTGACAGTTTAGTTGACTGTCAGCGAACAATCTTTAGAGAAGAGCCCTATCATGGACTTGCCATACTATGAGGTCCAATAATATTACTTAAATCAAGAACAATGGCAGTGGTATATTATTTGTGCATGTACTTCCAACACCATAATGTGTGAAGTGTAATGACGGGTCGTGGTACGCGATAGATGTCCTTCTTATTAATGTGTATATTCTGCGTAAGTCTCTATTGGACAGGTGCTACAGTCGTTATTTTGTTTCAAGAAATTATATCTGACTTTTTTTAACGTCCTTGGCTAAAATATTATTAATCCATTACATACCTACTTACACATAATTTGAGTAAAATCTCGTCAGATATAATGTTTTCGGCGTAATTGTAATTTACAAGAATTCATAACAGTGTTTTAGAGCAAATGGTACCATTAGCCTAGTTTGCAAATTCAGTGAACGCTACTGTTTGCTTTATTTTCTTGTCGAAATGACATTGTGATTCACTATAGTTTGACATAATCTCTATGTTGCGGAATGTCACCACTCTACGGAAAATAAAAAAAATAAAAATTAGTCATGGCGGATCTAAAGAATGGGAAGGACGTGTCAAACGTCGGCGAAGGTGACTCTGTTTCGAAAGATGTTGTTTATCTCGAGGAAACATTTTACATTCTTTCTAAAAAGAACTCAGTATTTCGTGTTCGGTTGACTCCTAAAGGCTTGTCTCTAACAAAAGAAACAGATGGCAATTCAAAAGAACAAACTATATTGCTAGCTGATATCATTGGCAGCAAATGTATGAGGAGCAAACGACGACGCCCTGGAGCCGGCTCATGTGTCTGCAGTTCCTTCGTTGGTAACCAGCTCAAAGTAGTAGATGAAAACAGTGGCGATCTAGATGAAAACGATATCAGCGCTTACCTGTACATTTATGCTTACATACTGAAAAGAAGTCGTCGTACCTTGAAAAGAGAGAGGACAACAATAACACTGCGGTTCAGGTCTTTCGATAAATATGAAGATAATAATAAAGAAGCACAGAAATGGAGGACTACAATAAAGTGTTTGATTGCGCGCCAGCCGATAACGTCCTCACCGCCGACTAACGAAAAAAAGATACTTGTGCTTCTAAATCCAAAATCTGGCCCGGGTAAAGCTAGAGAGCTGTTCCAGTCGAAAGTGGTGCCTATTTTGCAGGAAGCTGAGGTTCCGTTCGACCTTCATGTCACAAAGTATGCTCAGTACGCGCGGGAGTTTGTGCGCACCAGGAATGTGTATGGTTGGCGCGCTATTGTGGCTATTGGCGGAGACGGCGTACTGTTCGAGGTGATGAATGGCATGTTTGAGAGACTAGACTGGCAGCAAGCTCTAGCTGAAGTACCATTAGCCATACTACCCTGTGGCTCAGGCAATGGATTGGCAAGGACTATATGCCATCTGTACAAGTGAGTAACATTACATTTGTTTATTCAACTGTTTTTCATACTTATGGAATAAGGGTATGAAATATGAATTTATATAGTGAGACATGCAAAAGTTTGCTTCATAATAATAATAGGTAATGTTAACATACAAGAGCCAATTGGAATTTAGTATCTCAACATGTTGCTATTGCAGGTGCACATATTATAATAACATAATGAATTTGCTTGTTAGACAGTGCAGAATGAGACTCATTTCCCGCATTGATATTCTCATAAAAGTACCCAATTTTTTACAGACACAGGTTCTGGTAATTTGTGATAAGTTATGCTTACAATCTTGTACTTATTATTATCTGTCTTATTTTCCAATAAAAGTCAAGATAATTAATGCAACACTTAATGACAACATAATTAATTAAGTCATTGGAATGCTTCTTTACACCATTTCCTAGTTCCACTGGCCATGAACATTCTATTATTAACTATTACACAAAAAAACAACAATTATTGATATTATCTGATAATTTCACTCATGACTCATTTAGATTATAGTAATACTTCATGCAAAATTATTCGGATGAAAAGGAACCATGATACAACTGAGTAAAACTGAGATCTTATTGTGTTGCGCATGCATATAGCTTGTTGAATGTATGTGCATTAAGGAATTCTATTGTTTATTAAGGTATTTGAATGTCACCTAAGAGTATCAGCTTAACAAGTTGCACTTGTTCAATGAAAGCGCTATTGAAGTTATCTTAATAGCAATTAATTTTTACACTTTGAATAAGAGTTCAAAGTAACATGTGGCTGAGCTCATGTTGTAGATAATTTATTTTTGAGTCATATTGTTGTTACTGAAAGATAACAACTTAATATGTGTTGAAAATATTGATATACAATGACCAATAGTGAGGTGCTATTATAACTGAAAAAAGCATGAATTTAACAACAATCTAACATACCTAGTATGAATTTTTAGTTTGTCTTGCACAAAGTTATATTTGTTTTTGCTCAAAAAAACTATATAATTTCATATATGCAACAGATTTGATTGTGCATGGAATAGATTCCCAAATTAATGCACTGGTTTTAAGAAACAATTAGAAGGCAAACAATTGGATGGTATATGGTTTTAAGGGCGATAATCTAGGCTACTATTCCTTTGGGATCAAGCGAAATTTATAAAATATATGAATATGAATGTTAATAAATAAGGTTTATTATAAAACCTACTTGAAATGAAATAATAAAACTAGATATTTACAAAATTAAATGATACCATTTAGTTGCTTTATTTAATTTAGGCTTTATACATAGCTAGAGCAGTATTTGATCTTTGTCTTGTAGGTATTTAATTTATCTAGCTATTTTGAAATCAACAAATCGCATGATAAGAACACATTGAACTGATTACAGGTTTAATTGTTTCCCAACCGTTCTAATGGAATTACTAAATTATGTGACAAGATTATCTAGAGCATAATAATTGAAAACAACAAGAAATGTAGTGTTTTAAAAAAACGAATACTATTTTTTTATAATTTATTTCATTCATTGTTGGTACCTGAGTAGTTGTGAAAATATATATTTGTTAAAGCCTCGGGGCACTATATCTCTTAACTCGTCGAGTACCGGTTTTATAGACACAATTAAAGAACAATAGGTCGCGGTCACCGGTGACC